ATATCATACTGAAAATGTGTGCCTAATATCATACGAAAAAGGAAAAAAAATCCCACTAATCTCACATCCCCTCAAACAGTTATTGCATGGATTTATAAACTCAATACTTATATTGCTTAGTATTGTGCAGCTTGACTATTACTGAAGCATATTTGGGTAATGAGTGTCAAAGGAGGGAGACTAAGATATGGTATATTTAAATTCATTATTGTAGTGGAATTAATTTGTGTTAGGAATCCAGAAACTGGGACAGTAGGTATATTGCAAGCCCTTAATTTATAAGTGGAGCTAAGAGGTAAGAAAAAATAAAAGGTAATTTGCATTTAGAATAAGATGCTTCTTCTGTGAATACTCTAATAACCGTTTCCACTTTTTACTTTGACAGAAAAAGTAATGGATTATGGAATTTTTGAGTACTGACCCAAGTTTCACCCAGAATATTTTAGCTTTACCATTTGTGCGTATCATGGAATGTACAATAAACTAAAAATAACAGCTGGAAGGTCACACATTCTTAAGGTAGAAGTGATTAGGAAAAGGGCTGGGGAGCAAGTTTAACCAGCTAGCTCAAGCTTAGTTCAACTGTTAATTTAATTACTTTGTGTTATATCTTGTGTCACAAGCCTACCACACACTCAGAAATGCCAAACCTGTTGGGGTGCACTTGGACAGCTGTTCAGTTCTATTCAAAGCTGCCAGTAGTGTTGTGAAAGATGCTCTTTCAATTTTAAGCTCTGTAAATGACCATATAAAGTTACGTTTGGTCAGTCTGAACCCTGATGAGAATTCCACAGCTACCCAAAGTGGAAACGTCATGGGCTTGTTTGAATGTCCTTTGTAGTCATCTAGAACGATACAAACACTATTGCCTAAATTAACATAATTTTGATTTTAGTTTTATTGACTTGCAGTTATGCACTAATGGATTGAAACAAAAAAAGAAAATGGTTCCCTCCACCTGTAATGACAGTAGGAGGCTTGTTTTGTTGGTTTTTTTGGTTGATTTTTTTTTTTAATGAAAGTTTTACAAGTTCTCTCTCATAAATATTTCATTTTATCACTCTATTGAAATGCTGAATGTGTCCCAGTTGGAAGAAGTTGGTGGCAGCTCTAAGCTTCCCAGAGGAGTTCCAGCAAGCTGGAGCCTTCTCCCATGGGATGTCTACCACGGTAGCAATTCCGTGCCCATCACATACTGATATGCTTAATGGAACTGAGTTGTTGGAAAACTTCGTATCATTTCCTCTCAAACAATAATGTCAGAAAAATCTACAACAAATGAGGTTGTATTAATTATGGGAGATAATTCTCCCATAATTAATTATGGGAGACCGAATTTATGAGTTCTCCTCCTACAAGAGGGGTCAGACAAATCCTGCCTCTGTGTGTCAGGTCAGTTCATCCAACCCACACAAATCTCTGCCATTCTACGAAACTCCAAACAACTAAAAGTGCATGAGGTATGTTTAAGGTCTTTTCCTACTCACATAAGTTGAGCAATCTTTCCAAATACAGATTCCAAGGGGAAAATTTGCCCCAAAGATTTGTGGTTTTCTATTTTCGACCTGGATCCAAAATTCTCACGATAAACGCCTACAGGGCAAACATTTCAATTAAATTTATATTGCTATCTTCAGTGAAGCCATCTGTAGGAGGAGTGCAAATAAAATGAAATTTAGCACCCTCATTCCTGAAATTTAGAGCATGTGTGGTATTTTACACATTTAATGTGAGTGCCCCAAATGTCACCATAAAGGTAAACATGCCAGTTTTTAAATATCAGGCCCAGCATGTAGTTGCAATATGTGACAATAAAATCTGGCTTTATAAAGGGAAGAAGGCATGCAAAGGTGAAACACAACTGTGATTTTCCTCTTCACACAGATAAGTGTTCCTCCCCAAATCTGTGTTACATAAGTTTTATAATAACCCTCCTATTCACACTGAAAATTATTTATACAGACTTAAAACTATTTTAAAACTATTTGTATGCAATTTCAAACAGATTAAAATTTTGAATTTAAAAGGACTACTTTTCAGCCTCTAGATTCTAGGCTCTCTTTTAGTAGTTTTCAAGTGTTTATTGCATTATTTCACTTAACTTGAAGGTTGCAGCAAAGACACTGCAAACAAGAGTACTAAATCATGTTACTTGATGGGCTGAAACTCAAGCTTCTTTCATGGCATGGATTTACAAATTAACTGACATGAAAAAGAAAATACATATAGAGCTGAAGCAATTTTACATCAGGAAGATGGAAACAAGAATTAATAGATTTGAATAAATGGTATTTTGTTGGTATAAGAAAAAGAAAGTAAGTTTAAAACTTAGTGGTGCCTAAGTGAGTGACTGTGACATAAGACAATAAAGATTCATCTTTTATATGCGTTATGCAAAAGCACAAAGACAAGTGGTCAAATAAATGCAGAGCAGGCAAGAAGATACATATGCTGATACATATTTATACCATTAACTGCTTCTACAGTAAAACACAGAAAAGTTTTCAACACCTTATATTGAATAGTCCCTCTACAAATGATAAATTTCAACATAGTCTGAAATTCACTGGATATTTATGAACTAAATTATAAGTTAACTGCAATAAAGACAACAGAAACTACACCCACATATCTTTCAAATCTCATCACTTAATATAAGAAAGCAGCCTACTCTTCAATCTAAGAAGGTAACACAATACTTGTGATTATGACTTAGCAATATTAAAAGTGTATGTCTATTTTTCATGTTGGAATATGTTTACTAATTACACTATTCTCTCCTGATAATGAACTAACATTAAGTTACATACAGAGGCAACAACGAAAGAACTCTCATGTCATCATTCTGGAGTCAAGTGTAGCCTTACTAAGGAGAGCATTATCACAAGCATATTTGGTATAAGGCTTATTTTAAAAAAATATTAGAACGTTATGAAAGATGTTGGGAGATTTCATTGTGACTTCTCAAAACAGATTTACTGGTGCAGTCTCATTAGATGTTTTCCAACCATAAATTTCCCTTCAACACTACAAGGATTGTTACTGATTGAAAGAGATAAGGGGAAAGCAAATGGTTCTTCAAGTTACACCTGCATAAACTTGGTACTGCAATTCCAAAGTCACCTTGGAGAAAACCAGTAAGGACTGATATCTAGCAACCCCGTGCTTCATTAGACAAGTGACAAAATGGAAGTGTTTACTAAGATTTGAACTTGTAGGTGCATAGACCATAAACAAGTGTAGAAAATGTGCCTTGCATTGCATTGGCAATACATTAAATTATGTAGGAGCAACCATTATTACCATTATACATCTGCTGTATGCAATGAAACCTCCAAAACTTCCTTCACAAAAGATAACAAGAAAGTGACTGTGTATAGTGTTTTATATACAACATTATACATAAAACCACCCCAACCCTTGGCAGTGAAAATTTACAGTATTAAATGATGCAATAAAATAACCATTTAAAATTAGTAAATCCTACATTTCGTTTATTACACTTCACAGAATAATCAACCATAAGGCATTATGTAATTAAGATTACAAATCTCAGCCCTCCAAATCTGTTTTGTTGTTTCGACTGAATATTTTACTACACTTTCCTCCTAACACAGCAAATTAAATGGGGAAAAAAAAAAAAAAAAGAAAGAAATGAATCACACATCTTCCTCCTTATGGAGGTATTTCCAATAGCTGATGGCTGTTGTTGTAATGTGATAAAAAGCTACCACTATCTATCTACTACTCTCCACATTTGAAGAGGAATCTCTGTGTTTATTTTCAGAGTACAGCCATGTGTATCACACATGGCTATGACTTCCATTCTCTCTTCTAACTGACAGTTTAAAAAGTACTTTCAACTCAGACACAAAGATTAACTAAACCCCACCATATCATTCTGTGTGAAGCACTACTGTAAAACAGCCACAACATGATTATTCAAGGTCAGTGATTGAATCACTGGTCAAAACACAAATTGAGCACTGCATTTCCAACTCTACTTTTGAATTGATTAATTCAAACATATGAAGATTTCCAATTAAATGCTTCCACTGCTTCATGCATATACATCCATGGAAACTGCTGAAGTGCCTTCATGAATCACATTCTAAGTTTTAGCTGCCTTTTTTGAATACAAAACAAAAAATAACTCACAAAACCCCACAGATGTAGGTACAATCCCAGGCACTAGAAAAGGTAAATGCTTAGTTGCAGTGTGAATCCAGCTCATATTCCATTTCTATTTAGAACGTGATGAATCTTCTAATAATAATAATAATAGTTTGGACTGAAATTTAATAGGAAACAACTTTATATGCTGCTCTATTTCATGCACACACTCCTGCGTTTTTAAATCTTTAAGTATGCAAAAACCAGACCAGAAATTTGATTAGATTCAAAAATTAAACCCCAAACCAGCACAGCTAATAATCCAATTTTATCTAAACAAGAGAACTCATCCAGGGATTCTCTTGTCAAACTCATAATTCTGCTTTAACCACAGATCAAATTTCATCAGCAGAAAGCCATCCCACTTCTTGCTAAGACATTCAAAGGTATAATTAACCTCACTGGGAAAAATGTGGGTATGTTCCAGCCCAAATATATTCAAATTCAGATTCTAACCTTGAGTTCTCATTTGCCTGGCAAACAATAAAAGCACAGAGAAGATATTTGCAGTGAGGAGACAGAGATACACATATATATCCTATCATTTAACTACCTGTTTCTGCTGGATAATTCAGGAATTACACTAATGCAAGAAAAGTGTCAATAGAAAGCAGAGTTCTTTATGGTTTACAGTATACTTCTGCATCACTTGAGACCAATGAGTCACAAAGTGTAAAACATTAAATATATTTTATGATTTTTCAAGTAAATATTATAGATTGAAAGATTTTTGTGTCTTAAGGATCGATACTAATACTTTTTTTAAAGTACTTTATACATTTATGCTCTTGTATTTCACATGGTAGAATTTTTCATATATCACTTACTTTTTTGTCTTCATTATATTTGTGGAAAATTTCTTGTGCTCTTTCTTCACCACCATCTGTAAACAGCATAATAATCTTATTGCAGTTAGCTCTGGAGACACTGTGCTGTAGGAGATACAAACAGAAGAGTTTTTATATTTCACGCTATAGGGAATAACAGCTATTATATCTGATGGCTTTTATAGCTACACACTTAGTACTTTAACATGGTAATGTCAAAATATAAATATTTTAGAATTCTATTCAATATCCCCCTCTAAACGAAAAATAAAATAAAATAAACCAAAGCCACTTTTCTGTTCGATGATACTTAAATATGAGTCACTTCAGATCTGGCACTAGAAAGTGGAATAGGGATTTGTTAGTTCCTTTCACCTCCACAAACACAAGGAGAGCTCTTTAGCTCATACTCATCACATCAACCCCACAGTGTTCTGCATCAAACTTGCACAGTGAGGATCTCAAAATATTTTTACTCTTCTCTTTTCTCATCCTTACTTTTTTTTTTTTTTTCCCTTATCATTATTTTCCTTGTGGAAATTAGGGAACAATGGACATGTAATGAATTAATGAATATGCTTATTTTTTTCTGTTGGACTCCTAGCCACAAAAACTTTCCAGCTTGCTGACTGCTTGAATAAAAATTCTGTTAATTTAAGCATCCTACAGGATATTCACCTTATAAGCTTTGAAATGTCACATTTCCTTAAACTGAGCTTCATCTTCCAAATCTTTTTTTTTTGTTGTTGTTGTTGTTCTTAAAATTATTAATACTGTCAAATGAATAGCTAATCTTTAGAAAAGTATTTTAGAATAAGGTTTAGATAATATATTGTAGCCAAGATATGGCCACCTAGATTATTAAAATCTCTCCATCACCTACTTTTCCAATTATGTTGCACCTTAGAGCTGAAAAATAGAGCATGTTCCATTATTTCTGGAGAGCAAGCCTGAAATAGAATTAAAAAGAAGCCCCTCTGACTCCTAATTCATCAAAGTAACTAGTAAAGCCCCTGAGAAAAAGGCAGTGTGTTTTGCAAAGAAATAACAACGTTGTTCCACAGCCAGATCAATAGAGGTGAGCATGAATTTTGGCTCCTTTTTATTCTCTTAAAGTTAGACTCTAGTCTAAGCAAATTGCTTATTACTTCTGCAGCCATTCCTTGCCCTTTGTGCTGCATACAAATGGTACCTTGGTACTTCTGAGTAGCTGGATGTGACCGAGTAAAACCCCTAGAGATCCCAGGAAACAAATTCAACTTCTCCTTCCATGAGCCTCAATTTTTCTCTATGAATTTACTCCAGAGTCAGGAAGATAAATAGGAGAGTTTCCTTACAAAGTCCCCAGTTCCCTCCTGCTTTATTCTTTGTGGCTACAAAGTGACTGTCACCAGGCTGGTCAGGTGTGATGATTCCACTCCCCTTTGCCACTTTTCATTCTACTCACTGGTCTAATTCCTGCTCAATATTCAGTGAATAATTACTTCTTTTCTTACTATTACTATTTCAAAATCTAATAATTTGTGAAAAAAAAAAAATTCCCACAGAATTTAGCCCAGATTCCCTTACATGCAGCAACATATAAAACCTGGCTTAAATCAATACTTTCTCTCCAGCCTCATCAGCACACTGTGTTTCAGTTGGGATTAAATAATTTATGACCATTTTTCACCTGTGAAATATAACTTGCAAGATACTGCTTTGGGCTGCAATTCTCTTGATATTAAAAAAGTAATAAAAGTAGGGTTGGATACCTCATAAATAAAGAAATTCACCTACATCTACAGTGATTTAATATATAGACCAAAATAAGATCAGAGAGACAAAGAAGGGGATCAAAATTTGCTCATATTATGGAACTTTTCTAGTGCTTTGAAAGAAGCACTACTATGGGCAAAGGAAACTTGAGCTAGGCTTTGCTTTCACTGACTAAAGCAGGACTTTTCTGTGACTTACTCAGCATATGCTTACACAGTATCAGAAAAAAGCAGTTTTCTCTCATCTCCTCGTGCTTAGAGACGGGCATTACTTACATTACATGGTTAAGACACTAAAGACACTAAATTAATAGAAAAAAATATCCAAGATTTTAGTACCCAAATATTATTGTAAACCTGTACATGAATAAATTCAAATCATATGGTATTACCCCATCCCTTGAACTGTTTAAGGCCAGGCTGAATAGAGCTCTGAGCAGCCTGGTCTGGTGAAAGATGCCCCTGTCCATGGCAGGGGTGTTGGAACCAGATGATCTTTAAAGAATTTAAAATATATCTTCCTCCTCCCCAGCCTCTTTTGGTCTAAATTGGAGAGATACTGGCTCAGGGAGTGAATCCATTATAGATTGTGACAATCCTATGCTGTAATTTCATCATTTTTCTGAACAGTTTGCCTTAGCAGTCCAACGGGCCACAGCTGAATGGGAATGTGTTCCCTATACAGGAGCTTCCCCAGGACAAGAAACAGCTTCTTAGCTTAAACAACAAAAGCATACAAGAGGAATTGAGCTATGTAATAATTTTTAGCTCTCTCTTTTGTTTGATAGAGGTTGAGGCATTCACATTCTCTGGAACAATTCCTTCGCTCAGGATTTTTCTCCTGGGAAGCTGAGAAGCTTCAGAGAAAAGCAAAACAATTCTTATCTCATTTGCTTCTCCTGTGTTGTGCTCACATGTGGAAAGTGTTTGGAGATTGTTTACCCACAGGTGATTGCCTGATTGTATTCTGCTGTCAGTTGTTTTGTCTCATTGGCCAATCAGGGCCAAGGTGTTTCAGGACTCTGGAAACAGTCACGAGTTTTCATTATTATCTTTTTAACCTTCTGTAAGTATCCTTTCTGTATTCTTTAGTTTAGTATAGTATAGTATTCTTTAATATAATATAGTATCATAAAATAATAAATTAGCCTTCTGAGAACATGGAGTCATATTCATCATTCCTCCCTGTCATGAGGGTCCTTGCAAATATAATAATAGTTCTTATTTTTCCTTTCAAACAGACAAGAAAGACATGATCCATTTTATACTGCATCTAAAATTACTTTTGTTTTAAACAAGTTTCACATCTTTAAAATTAACTCTGTAAGTGGCAGGTTACAATTATATTTTGTGACATGACACTTCAGGAATGCATTTCTCACTAATTTTTCTTTAAGAAACCATAGATATTACAGGATGAGGGAAAAAATCCTCCTGAACTGCTGAAGCTGAAGTATGATTTTCAAAGAAGCAAGTTAATGTAACAATAAATAAACAATAAATAGGAAAATGCTGTATGAAATTTATGTAATTCATATTATTGTTACTCACATGAATTATTATGCTGAAAAAACTTGAGTGTCTATTTCCATTTAGAAACATATCAAACAGCAATTTTTTTCATGGTACCAAACATTAATTTGGTATACTGGAAAATTGTTTGAAATAACTGTCATCCAGAAACAGTACCCACAAAATTATTTTGAAAATTTGAGAAATACTTCATTTATTTGGACCTTAAAGCAATTGGATTATTTGAATTCATATAACTGGCTGCTATCCCAAAGCATATTTTTTTTTTTATTTAAGCCTGTATTATACCACAATATTATATTGTCTTGTCACCAGAGCCTTGGCCTAAACCCATCACCAGTTCTTTACTCTTCCTGCTAAACAGATTTGGCAATTGGTGCAATCCACAATGTCCAGCCATAGCTTCTAGGCTTGCAGAGATCATGGGAGGCTAATCACACTTCTGTCTCCAGCTACAAAAGAGGTGGTCCCACTTTAACACTCATCTCCAATTTTTTTAAGTAATATTTTAGTCCTAAAAAAAAGTCCAGTTTGAGGCTTCCCCTGTGTTCAGCTTTTGTTAGTGTTGCCTGTACACCAAGTATGTACCTGGTGCTGCACCAAATGTAATCCATAACTTTAAGCAAATATCAATGTTATGAGGAACATATTCGGCAAAATTTATTTTCTTCCTGGTCCCGTCTGCATAAGGTGTCAACAGGTGCAGAACAGGGGAAAATGCCACCCAGCCTGGTCCAAAATATCCAACAGACTTCAAACTATTGTTTGTGGTTTTATATAACCATCAGCAGAGGACACACAGTCATTTCCCCCTCCATTCCTCTGCTAATATGAATAGTTCTGAGAAGATTTCCACAAAAACATTGCATTTTCTTTTTCTCCATCAAAATTTTACAAGGTTATAATTTTTTACAGAAGATCTAGCCTTTAAACTGCATATACAATCTTAGGGAAGTGTCCTGAATTTCAGAATCTGGCAGGTTGGGGGAAAAAATGTAAAAAATAAAAACCAAAACCAAAACCTCAACCACAAAAAAACAAAAAAAAAAAAACAAACAAAAAACAAACAAACAAAAAAAAAAAACCAAAACCAACCAACCAACCAACCAAAAAAACAAAAAAAAAATCACAACCAAACAAATAAAAACCCCAACAAAAAATAAACAAAACAAAAACAAAACCCACAAAAAAAACAAACCAAAACCAGTAAGGATAAGAATATTTAAGCTATACCTTACCTGCTGTAAAGTGATACAGCTTTATCTAAGCTAAGGTTTAAGATATCATGTGCCTACTTCAGGAAGGTGAGAAGTAGAAATATTTTTTTAAACAACTACATGAACCATTTAAAATTTACTGGTAAACCCCAATATCTGCTAAAAATGGGAAACATTGCTATTCAAAAAGCTAGTGTCTGGTTAGAAAATGCAATGTATTTAAAAGATAGAACCAATGCATTTAATTTTTGAGGAAATTATTCTTTTTTACATGAGAAAGAGAAGAATTAGAATAGTCTCAGTGAGTGAATACTATGCTTTAGGCATTATCAGTGCCTAGTATTCCTCTATTAACTAACTCATTTCCTCCCCTCTATCTTGCTCAAACCATGGTAAAGTATTTATGACTTCTAACAAGTGTGAAATTGTATGTTAACTAATCATTGCTAGGAGATGATGTGGTAAAATTGAAATAATAACACAGTAACACAAATCTTTCCATTTTAAAATTAACTGCAAGTCAACCACTACCACAAGTATGTGTCAACTGTGAATCACATGTTAAATGAAAAAACAGCTGAATGAATGAAGTAAAACAGATTGAAAACCAAATTAATTTCAAAGTCTTAGCAACCTGCTGGGGAACCTGAGAAGAAAACATTGTTGGGATAAATTCACTTGCTAAATATAGGTTTGCACTTCTACCACTTAGTTACACAATGAAGGAGCATGCAGTGGCCTGCTGAATATTCCAGTTCTCCTTCTTCACTTGACAGCAGAGAGATCATACTTAAATACTTACATTTAGCAGCTGTTCAAAAGCATAGCTAAAGCCTTTTTTGTAATCTGTAATTCCTTTAGCAGAGATTTTATAAACAGCTTCTTTCAGTTTCTTCTTGTTCCTCACATTAGCTTGGACAAGATGATTAAAGCAACTGACGTTCTGAGCATTATTATTGAACTGCAAAATAAATAGAAATAGTATTAAAGATAGTTAATTTTCTTTTCTGTGTACTGTAGCAGCAAAGATTTATGTTTTCTGGATCTTCATGAGATAAAGAATGTCAAACCTAGAATGTCAAACCTTTTCATTTCCACTATGCTGAGAGCAACCAGTAGTGACTGGAGAATCCAAAATGAGTCTAAATATTTTGAAAAACAGGAACAGTGATGCTTCACTCTGTAGCAACCAAAAAAATCTATTATAGTGGAAAAAAATCACACAAATTTTGTTTCAAGTTTACTTAAAGAAATAAAACTTAGAAATGCAGAGTTGTGGTAATTAAAAAAACAAAAAGAAAAAAAAACCAAAAAAACATAGATAAAGATATATTTCAACTTTTTTAATCCCCTGAAAAATATTGGTTGAGTTATCAGGTGACTTCCATATTGCAGGAATTAGTTTGGCATTTTACAATGTAACTTGCAGATCAGACTCAATTGGTATGTAAAAATTATGGAAAACAAAATACACTCTTGGAAGCACAGGAGAGTACAGCTGCAAATATGAGAATACTGATGATAGCAGTAGAAATTTGTACCTTGAGAAAACACATACTTCTACTGCCTCACATATCCATAAAGACTACTCCCTGAAAAGTAATCTATATGATATTCTGACATTATGTAAAAACACACACAGAAATTTTTTTAAGTGCAAAATGTTGTCTGCACAAGTGGAAATCAGTTTAAGATTGCTTTTATATTTGTCTCTGTATAAATATGCATATATTCATGTATACTAAAATACAGACCTCACAATTTACATTTCAACTGAAAGCAGATTATTATGCCTCTTCCTGATTATGGATGTTCAGTGAAAGTAAACATAAATGTAATTTTATGCTGTCAACCTTGTGCAAAGCCTTAAAATAACTTAAAAATCAAGCCTCGCTGGCTTAAATCTCACTACTGCTAACCAGTTCAACAGTGCTCTGTAGGTAAAAGGTAAATAAGGTCATTGGTTTCAATAAATGCTCAACTACTTAGACTTCTGAAATAAAGCACTGAGTACCAGGCACAAAGTACAGAGGGAGAACTGCTTTCAGCAGCAAATACCAACCTGTAAATGTACAACACTTACAACAAACCAAACTTAAAAGGATAAAAGGATTAATAATATTAAACCATTTTTAATAATGCCTAGTATTTCAATTCATGTAATTAGGGGGTTACACTGTATCTCCTTAATGTACTCCATATTGCCCAAAAAGGAATATTTTTGGGACCAAAAAAACACAGCCTGTTTTGCTGCTTAAGCAAAACCATGAGATGATGACACAACTGTAACCAGTTCACCCTGATGCAAAACTCTGACAGATTCAACAGTGCTTCCAATAAAAGTTTCTGATAGAAGTAACCATTAAATCACCTAATGATTATTGGAAACGTAAACCATGTGGAAATGAAAACAGTTATTGTGCTATGGAATTATTTCAGTTTGCCTCAACCTAAATGTATAGCCATGATAGGAAAATTACAGACATAAAGTAATTTTATAAAGACAAAGTCTGAAAACCAATTCAAATTGCGAGTCGTGGTAAAAGTACAAAAATTGTATCTGGAAAGTAAAAAAAAAAACCCAAAAAACAACAAAACATTACCTAGTAGGCAGCTCTGCCCTACAAAAGTAAATTTCATCTGAAAAAATAAAGTGAAAATACTCCTCTGCTTCACCACTGATATTATATAGAAATTATTTAATGACTTAATATAAAAGAAATCCTAAGTTCAATCATATGGCCCATGCATGCTTGTCTTGGCTATAGCAAACAGCAGTTTAGACATTCACATGAAAATTTAGTGACAAGAGAAAATTTCTCCCTGGAATGTCACTAACATTAAACTGCCAATCTAAGTCACTTGCTACCAGTCCTGCAAATATATCAGGATAATTATTTCTAAGAAGGTCAGGAGGTATCCAGCACATGGATTAATGCTATAGAAATTATTTTTAAAATATTTTGAGGAACAGTGGTTCAAACTGTGCAGGCAGCTGACAAGGAAACTGCTACACTACACTTACACATTAAGCTGCACTGCACTGCTCTCACACACTCTGTAAAGTGAACAAAGGGTCAAAACAAAGCATCTGCATCTGTAGATGCACAAATGCTGATGTAAAATGAAGGAGAGAAATGACACATTTGTAGCAGAGACTTACATCAACCAAAGTCTGCAAATGCTCTAATTTAATTAAGCAAATGTATGAGCCAGCTGTTTGCAGAGACATCAGTCAACATTAATGTGAATGCCAGTCAGAAAGGCAGATGAGCAGAGTTTGTGATTCGATGAGGGAATCACTAGATGGAACAGCAATCCTCCAGAATGAACATTTCCCTGTTTGCTAGGACATGAAGGCAAGGTTCAAATCTGAGTGATGAAATGCTGATGAAGAGGGAAAGAAAATTCAGGGGTGAATTTAATTAATCTGAACTCCAGTAAATACTGAAGTAATGGAAGGATTTTAACTGTAAAAGATAACATCCTTAAAACTGACTTTCCACATGTGGCAAACACCAGGATAATTCAAAACTTAGAGTTAGCCAAACTGAGCCAGCTTTTAGTTATGCTCATCTGAAACATAATAGCAATAGTGGCACTATGATTTTTTACACATTAAGATTTGTAAAAATTTACACATCTTAATTTACAAGATAAAATAACTGCTGTAAGCCTTCACTGATTACTGGTCACATTGTCTGTACCATAATAATGCTTATTTCAGTTCCCAAGATTTCTTGAAAACACAATCACTTAGTATTTAACTGAAGAAAGAACATGTAAGCTTTCAAAAACTAGATGCCATTTCAGAAAGTCCGTGTTCTTACAAAATCAAATCCTATCAAAGGTGTAAAATTAAGGTAATTACAATCCATGCTTTATTGAACAAAGTACTCTCAGTGTATCTATGTGAAATATGTCAGTTGGGTATTTATCAGCCTGGCATTCCCCCTAATTATTGCAGTAAATATAAACACATGCAACAAAAGTGCTATCAGAAAAAAGGAAATAAGTGGAATTTTTTTATGATGCCATGGGCTTAGTGATTCACTTACAAAACAATATATGACATTTAGCAAACCATTCAATTGTTCAAATGTAAAGCCACCCTACAGAGTCTGTCACCATCAATGACAGCTTCTATTTTTTCAAGTATATGAAAAGCTTATTCCTTATCTAAGCTAAAATAAGAGAGGTTTGCAGCAAAACAGTTGTAAATCATGGAAAACAGAATAACCTTGAGCTTTTATTTTAAAGCTTCATGAAGTATTAATATAATTAAATCTGTCTTGTAATTATACCTGCGAGGTATAGGATCTAGATGCAGTTTCCACTGGATTATTTCTCACTACCCCATTTATTTATATCCTATTTCATTCTCCACCTCTGGGATGTCCCAGAACAATCCTCTGTTATGAGGAAATTAAGACCTTCTCGTCACAGGTTTTGGCAGGAATAACTAAGCCTGCTACTGGGGCATAAAAAGTCTCAAGAGAACTCAATCTCATTGACCTCAGACCACCAGCACAATCTCTGGTCATATATGGGGCAACTCAATAACCAGAAAGATAAGAAAACCATTTCAACTTAACATGAAAGTTCAAATGAAGGGTTTTGAGCTTAATGCTCCTTGAACTTTGGCATCCTGGAGGAGGTCTGAGACAGAAATACTAATCTGACAGTTTTACAAGGACTTTATCTTCTGATTCAGAAGAGGATCAACTTGTGAAAACCAAGTGAAAAAAGCAGTGAAAAATTATACAGAACTGCAGCAAAAGATTAAAATGCCTGAGACCTTTCCCCTCCCTTGGGTAGCTCCACTGAGCTCTGGGCTCCTCCAGCCACATGGACCGCTGCAAACCAAGTGCTCCAAGAGCTGAACTTACAGAAAATAGGAGGCTGTCATTCTGAAAACCTCTTCTAATTCCAGAATAGTTACTTATGCATTGCTAAAAGCCTCCTCTTTTCTACACTCTCAACCTGGAAATCCTTCTAATAAAATTACTAAAATTGCTACCACAACATGAGGTTATTAGGGAATTCAAGGGAAGTAAAACAGAAATATTGCTTTATTTCCTAAATCTGTTCCACTTTGTGGATATGCAGGTCAAAGAATGATAAAAAGACCCTGCAGACTAGTGTTTTAATTAAGAGGGCAGTGTAAGGTGTAAGAAGGGGAGGGTGAAAATAAATCCCTGGAGAAGATGTCTGAAATTAAGAAAGGAAGTATCAGAATTCAGCATAAACTCTGTGATTCAGTTTGAAACGGACAAAATCTTCTGTAAATCATCTCATTACTGCAAACTGCAAAACCAAACGCCAATAAATCGAAATTTTCAAAAAAAGTTTTCAAGTTTCAGTCACTAGGTGGCACTAAAACAAAAAGAGTTGAACTGGTCTTAACAGCACCATGAAATGTGGAATTTTACTTTTCTGGTGGAGGACATTGATGCTTTCTATAACTAGCATAAAATTTTCATTTCAACTAAAACAATAAAAGAAATTCGTATTCTAAATAATTGAAAAATCACACATATTAAAATTTAAACTTCCTCCTTAAAGGAAAATTTCCACATCTTGAACACAAGAGGTCCCAACTCTAGGAGGATGAAAATTATGGAAAAGCTGTAAACCAGCTATTTTCTAAATGTCCTTCTGTGCCTCCAAAATCTGTGGAAGTGATAACATAAAGCATGCAGGACCAGGTCTTTGAAAAAATTCAGATGTTCCCAATCATCCTTACCTACTGCCTCCTTTTTCTTTCAGTTTGTTTAGTGATATATATTGATTCAACATTCCATGTTTAATCGGAATCTTCTGGAATTGCATTTCTAAGAATAAAAAAACCCAAACCAAACCCCTAAAAACAAATGAACAACCAAACAAACAAGCAACCCAAAAACCAAAACCAAACCAAACAAAAATAACCTAAACCAAACAAAATAAAAACAAACAAAA